GGGCAACAGAGTGAGACTCTGTCTCAAAAAAAAAGAAAAAAAAAAAGTGAAATGTCAGAGATACCAACTGTCAAACTTAGTATTTAAGGACATCAGACATTCCGTACTTAATAACCTAATATTTCTAGAGAAACGTGCATATGTGCACAGGGAGATATGTACAGGAATGCTCATGGTAGAATGTGTTTGTACTAGCAAAAAAACAAAACTAGAGATAACCCAAATCTCTATAAATAGGAGAATGGAGAAATCAATTGTGGTATTGCAGCAATGAAAATGAATGAACTACAGGTACATGTATGCATCAACACAGATGAGTCTCAGGAAGATAATGTTGAGAACAAAAAGAAAAAGCAGGCCATAAAAGAATACGTAGACTTATTTATTCTTCGATATGAAGTTCAAAAACAAATAACAAACGATTTATGGGTAATACCATGTATAAACTTAAAAAAAAAATAAGGGAAGAAGCATATTAATAGAATTGGGAATAATAGTTTCCTCCCGGGGTGGATTGAATTGAGAAGGGGCCCCCAGGACTTCAAAGGTCCTAGTAATGTTCTCTTTCTTAAGCTGGGAGATGAGTTCAGGGTGTTAGTTTTATTCCTATAACCTTACCCTGGGTCATAAATATTCAGTATTTTATAAAGATAGTTTTTAAAAATTAAAAAAGCAAGTGATACGGAGCTGAGGATGGAACATTTAATTGGGGCCAAGCAGTGAAGGGCCTGGAAGCCTGGTTGAGCAGCTTGGGTTTCACCTTGTTCTCTCTCCTCTCTCTCCCTGAAGGCTGGAGCAGAGCTGCATGTGTTAGGTGAGGAAGGACAGTCACAGACACAGACCAAAACGGAGTTGAGAAATAGCGGGCTCTTCTGTCCTTTTCTGAAAGCCCAGAAGCTACACCCTTTCTTTAATAGATTCTTGTTTATCAATATTTACTTACTTATTCTCCTGCTTTAAGTTTCCTTTCTTGTGTATTCTCAGATTTGACCCTGAAAATAGCCACATGTGGAGTAAGTATTTCCCCGTTGTACTGGTGAGGAATTTGAGCTCCAAAAGTTAGGTTGCTCATACAAGATCTTCCACCTACCAAGTGGCAGTGACAAGGCCATTTGGGTTGCTTTTTATCATGTGTATGTTATTATATATGTGAATAAATGTGTTTGTATCAGGAGTCCCCAACTTCTTGTGAATGAAAAACTGTTTAATTTTCCAGAAGCCATTAACTGGGGGGGAATCATTAATCAGGAAGGATAATTTACAACAGTGTAGGAGATCTCTGAGGGAGAGACGATGCTGAAGAGATCTCATCGATCTCAGTTGGGTACCTGCTCCATGGTTTTTTCCTCTTCTGAATTTGTGTCTAGTGCCTTCTGCGGGGGCTGCGGAGAGAGCCAGAGTTCTGAAGGAAGAAGGCAATGAGCTTGTAAAGAAGGGGAACCATAAGAAAGCTGTTGAGAAGTACAATGAAAGCCTCTTGTTTAGTAACCAGGAATCTGCGACATACAGCAACAGGTATCTTCTTCACAGCTGCTTCAAGACATTGGGTGTTGTGTTCCATAGTCTTCTCTTGGACTCTGGTGGGCTCTTCCTCCCCAGCATTTGGTCAGTCTGTTACAGCTCAAAGCGTGCGTTCACGCTGTGAGCTGGGCATTGCCAGTGGCATTCGCTCTCTTAAAGGGTAGAGCTAAGGGATGCCAAAGGGTAGCCTGGGTTTTGTTAGCCCCTCTCCCCACAATTTTCCTAAGCATACAATATAAGTAAAAGCAGTGTGCTTGCTGTACAGACACAACCTAAACACAAGTCTCTTAGTCTCTTCACCCCCTACCCTGCTCCCAACCCCATGGTTTCTTCAAGACCCTCCTGTTAGAAGTTTTGGCACCATTTCTGTCTAAGAGTACTGGCCCAGAAGCCATAGTGTGGGATAACTATGACCTGGCCTGGGAGCAGGAAGGAGGGGTGTAGTCTAGCCAGAGGGGTTAGACTTGGGGGCCTGTAGAAGGCCCTGTACCAGGAGCCGCTGTCAGTGACCACTGACAGAGCCTGGGAGCCAGGGTACTGTCCCTTTATTGCGTGGGAGTCATTACTCAGCAACAGTGCTCAGAAGTATAGGTGGTAGGTGTTCTTCCTGTTTTAAAGTTGAGAAAATCGAGGCTCAGAGAAGGAAGGGCTTTGCCTGAGCTTACCCAGCCAGTAAATGGTGGCACCGGAATTGGAATCTGGCTCCAATGAGATCTTCCTGTTAATTTTACTCTCAGAAGCTTCAAACATTCATCAAGAAATCATATCTGATCCAAACATTTATTATAAAACATGTATTAAAAAATGTCTGTTTCTCCTTCCCTATCAACATACACATTTCACTCTCTAGTTCAGAATCTTGGGTCTATGCTAGGTGTGGTGGCCCACACCTGTAATCCTGACACTTTGGGAGGTCAGGAGTTGGAGACCAGCCTGAGCAAGAGCAAGACCCTGTCTCTACAAAAAATAGAAAAATTAGCCAGGAGTGGTGGTGCTCACCTGTAGTCCCAGCTACTCCGGAGGCTGAGGCAGGAGGGTCACTTGAGCCCAGGAGTTTGAGGTTGCTGTGAGCTATGATGACACGACTGCACTCCAGCCTGGTAACAGAAAGAGACCCTGTCTCAAAACAAACAAACAAATAAGTAAGTAAGTAAATATCTATCTACCTTGGGTCTAATGTAGGCAGACTATTTCTTATTCCAAACTCTTGGGATAAAATGTGTTTCAGATTTTAGTGAGGTAATACAGTCCACATGCTGAATTACATAGCACTGTAGCGGGGTCTGGGCAGCTTACTGAAGTAAGTTATTAGTATTTCTACAAGTGGAACATGGAAATGCCATGTTCACATGGGATGGGATAAAGAAACTAAGTAGCTTCATGTCAACTCATTTCGGGTTTTGCCAAATGAGTTGAAAGAGAACTTGCAGTTTTAAAGGTTGGATTTTGGGATTTTGCACCTATGATTTTACTGCAGATTGGACCAGGGGTGCCTCAGTCTGCCAGGCTCACTTGAAAAATAAGCCTACAGCCTTTTTGTTCCATGTTTGTGTGGCACCATCTTCTAACTCCATTTTCTCTGGGCACTCTTTGGGCTTGTTTATTACCTTACGCTGGTGAATACCTCCATTAACTCATTTTTCTGGATTTTTACCAAATTTGTAACTATGTTTTGTTTACTGTTCTTCATGCAAAGTGTCTGTGCCACACTGTCACATCATGTCCTTTCCTCTGTCGGTCAGAACAGTCACAGAGCCTGCCTAAATTCAAAGCGAGAGAACAGAGACCCCTCCACCTCTCAATGGGAAGAGCACCAAAGAATTTGTGCCTGTCTTCAAATTGCTACAAGGAGGTGGTTTTTCTCTAAGTTAATTTATAATGTAAATCCTGTGCAATCACAAAGGACTAGTAGAATTTTGAAATTCATGATAGTGATTCCAAAGTTTGTTAGGAAAAAATGAGAACAACAGCAAAAGAGAATTTAGTGTATGATAAAGTATAGGGAGAAAAGGGATTATTCAATAAATGGTGTTGGATTGGCTGGGTAAGAGTGAAAAATAAACCTGAATCCTACCTCAGTTCTTTTTTATTATTATTATTATTATTTATCCTTTACACAGTTCCTGGTGCACCCAATTCTTATTTTAAAATAAATTCTAAGTGGATTACAGTTTCAGATGTAAACAGTAAAACCATTAAGTTCTGAAAGAACATGTGTGCTAATTATCTTGCAATGGGGAAAGTATTCTTATGTGGAGGAAAGTAACTCACGGAAGTCACTGAAGGAAAAGTTAGAGAAATTTGATTCCATAGATTAAAAAAGACCTTATGTTGGCTGGTCTGAAGGTAGTGAGTTATCTCACTTGATTGTTCATAGTGACAGATTGAACTCCTTGTTCTACTACTTTCCCCCCTTCTCACTAGTGCACTTGACTAGTCTTAAAAATAAAAAAATAAAAGACCTATGTAAAGATGTTCAGCTTTACCCATATTTAAAGCAATTAAAACAATGAGATATCATTTTCTTCCATTGGTAGAAATTAAAGCTTGAGACCCAGGGTTGGTACAGTTGTAGGAAAATAGGCTCTGTCAAAAACTGTTCTTAATAGTACAGTTTTTTTGGAGAGCATTTGGGCAGTAATAGTAAAAATTTAAAATGCATATGTCTTTTGACCCAGCAGTTCCTTGTATGAGGACGTTAAATGTAGCATCATTTATTTACAAACTGGAAACAATGAAAAATAGCCCCCGATAGGAAATCGGTAAAATAAATCCTGACACATCCAGCTGCACCCTGGACACACTGAAAACAGTGAGGTGGAATGGACGAACTTCCATAATGAGCTCCCACACATCTGACTGTTGTTTTTTTTCTTTTTTCTTTTTTTTTGAGACAGAGTCTCACTCTGTTGCCCAGGCTAGAGTGCCGTGGCATCAGCCTAGCTCACAGCAACCTCAAACTCCTGGGCTCAAGGAATCCTCCTGCCTCAGCCTCCCGAGTAGCTGGGACTACAGGCATGCGCCACCATGCCTGGCTAATTTTTTCTATATATCTTTAGTTGTCCAGCTAATTTCTTTCTATGTTTAGTAGAGATGGGGTCTGGCTCTTGCTCAGGCTGGTCTCGAACTCTTGAGCTCAAACGATCCACCAGCCTCAGCCTCCCAGAGTGCTAGGATTATAGGCGTGAGCCACTGTGCCCGGCCAGCCTTATGTCATTAATTAGAGTTCAGTATTTGTTTATTTTTTCTTAAGGAGATAATTTTTTAATCATCAAGGAGAAGGTTTCAGGAAACACTTTCTTTGCTTGAAAGAGCACAGTACAGGTGAGTGAAGTGCAGAGTGACAGAACTAAACAAGGTCAGAATCTGGAGTTGTGCAGACGCCCCCAGTTTGAACCTCAGGTTGCCCCCTCAGTACTGGTGGTACCTGGGGCAAGTCCCTTTACTCTTCTGAGCCAGCGTTTCATCTCAAAAAGGGGGTAGGATGGTTGTGAGGATCAAAGAAGATAGAAAGTAACCAGCACAGAGTAGGTGTTCAGCAAATCAGAGATCACTTTTCAGGCTACCTCACAGCTGGTGGCCCACAAGTGACTAAAACTTCTGAAATGGTCTCTCCCTATCAGAGCGCTCTGCTATTTGGCCCTGAAGCAGTACAAGGAAGCAGTGAAGGATTGCACGGAAGCTCTCAAGCTGGATGGAAGGAACGTGAAGGCATTTTACAGGCGAGCTCAAGCCTACAAGGCACTCAAGGTAAAAAAGATCCTGGCCAGAGGTAACAGCATAAGCCACTGAGATTTGTGCCAGCGGCAGCACTTCTAGAGTATAGTCAAGGCAGGGTGGTCGGTCTCTGCCGCTTTCCTTCTCATCCTGGGGCCTCGGGGGAAGCCTGCAGGCTGGGGTTTGAAAATACTCCATTGCCTCAGCACCTTCCCCACACTCTCCTCTCTTCTGTTAGGACTATAAATCCAGCTTGGCAGACATCAGCAGTCTCCTACAAATTGAGCCCAGGAACGGCCCTGCACAGAAGTTGCGGCAGGAAGTGAAGCAGAACCTAAACTAAGAGCCCAGGAGGACAGCAGGAGCCTCTGCCTGACCTGACCCAGAGAAGCCAGGGGTTGCTGCCTCTGCCCGCTCCTGAAACCCAGCATGTCCCGGAGTGACCTCTGAAGCACCCTCCCCGGCCCCTCGATGGCCTCCCACCCCTTAAGGGGCTTTGCTTGTTCAAATTAAGCTCAATGTAGTCAAACAGACGTTGTTGTTTCGCCAGAAAGGTCCCCACTAGGCTGAAGCGTGAAGCTGACGCCCTGTCCCCAACCCCCTTGCCTCAGATAGCGGATCATACAGACAGGTCCTCGTCAGCAAAGCAGTTGGCTTTGTTGCTGCCCCCAGCATGCTTCAAACTGAGTGCTGCCCTTGTAGCTCCACCAGCCCCCCCCCCCACTGCAGTTAATCTGAACACCGGAGCTGGGGTGGGGGTGGGGGCTAAGCTAGAAAACCCTGACCCAAAGCAGCCTGTTGAGCTGGTTCTCCAGGGCTGCAATCTCCCCTGTGTGCGGTTGCTATCCCTGTCTGTCCTTGGCACAGTCTCCTGTGTCTGAGCCCCAGTGCCTTTTGTCCAGGTCCTCCTTTGTTGGGCAGGCAGAGCCCTGACCCTTGGATGGCTCTGTCCTTGACTCTGTGCCGCTGCCTTCTGCATGGAGGTACCTAAGCTGTTTCAAGAGCCCAGTGGTTGTGGCTGCTCCTCCTGGAGGTAGGATAGGGAGAGAGGCCTCCTGGAGGTCACTGTCCTTCTTTTCTGGGCAGGAACTTGCCTTTTTGCTCCAACAGTGGCCTTCTCCAGGCATCATAGTTCTTTGTAATATGTTGAAGTTAATTTGAACTGACGGATTTTGTTGAACTGTGTGTTTAAGCTATTGCATTAAAAGGCTTTCTTCTACATAAATGTCTGTTGTACTTTCATTTGTGCCTTTTCAGCTTTGCGCCTGGAACTTGGTAGTAATAATAATAAAAGCTATTTCATATTGGGCATTCATCCAATCATTGAACAAATACACTGAAACGTCTGCGTGGACCAGGCATTGGTGTAGTGCTGGGGAGACGACAGCAAATAGGCACAGCCCCTGCTCTCAGAGGGGTGATGGTGCATCGGGAAGGCAAGAAGTTAATCAGAAAAATCACACGAGTATAAATCGCAGCTGGCCTAAGTGTTGTGAGTCCTGAGTCATCAAACAGTGCTTTACCTGCCAAAGAATGGGGAGTGTCACAGTGGAGGGAAAGGGGTCCCTGAGGAAGTAAAGCTGGGGTTGGGTTCTAAAGTGGGAGGTTAACGAGTGAAGAGGGGAGGGGAGGCAGGTGTGGAGAACAGAACAGTGTCTGCAAGGCCCTGTTTGGGAGGACAGGGTAAGTGCAGGGACCAAAAGGGCCATTCAGGTTCATGGAACGTGGCATGGGGTGAGGCTGGCGAGAACTGCAGGCTGCCTCCCCTTCCTGGACTGTGTCCTAGTTAAATTGTTTTCACCTTATCAAAGAAGTTTTATGATTCTGCAGAGAGACAAAGGATTTGGGTTTTCCCTTTGCTCCCTGTCGAATAGCACTAAGCAACATTCAGCTGTTAAGCACACTGCGGCTGAGCATTGGTAAGCATGAGTCTCTGTTTCAGCAATCACTGCTCTCCTGGCAGAAGTGGATTTTAGGCAAAGCTGGGCATGGTCAGGGGACGGTCTCAAAGCGGGGAGCTGTACCACCCTTCTATTGCCGCCTCTGAAGCAGGCAAGGCTCTGACTCAAATTAGGTTTAGTGGTGCCATCCAGTCCCAACTGGCTTATAGCATCCTCTCGAGCTCTAGAAAGCAAGTGTCTTGATTTGCTAGTGAAAACAGAAGTTTCCAATAAACACAGTGTGATAAGCTTCCTTATCCCATCACCCATCTTTGAAACTTACACCATTCTGTAATTTCCAGAGAGGCTTTGAGGATTAAAACTGCTTCTCATAGGTTCATGTTTCTACAACAGACAGCTATTGATGTGGTTGTCTTAATCATGGAATTCCATCCCCCACCCCAAGAGAAGATAAAAGAGTCACTCCATGGGAATAAGAGTCTTCCATAGACTCCCATGTGGGGGCCAGATCATGCAGGGTCTCGTGGGCCGTGCAAGTTTTGTCCTTATTCTAATGATGAGAAACTGCTGAAGGATTTCTGCAAGGATGAGACATCAGATTTGCATCTTGAAAAAAAGCCTTTGGACTGCATGGTGGAGGCCTGGAGGGCCAGGGTGGCTGCAGTTAAACTAGTGCAAGGCAGTGAGAGCAGGAGTCCCCCTGAGCTCGGATTAGGATGATGGCAGTGGATTTAGGGAAGAGAAGGAGGTAAAATGGATTTCCTATGGAAGATGAGAGAGAGAGTGACATGGCAGCTGGCTGGGGAAACTCAGATCTCAGATTTAGGCTTTTGCAGCGAAATGAAGGAGGGGCCATTAACTGAGACAAGAGAACACTGGAAGAGGGTGGCAGAGAATGAGGGGAGGGGATGCTAAATCATGAGCTGGTTTTAGACGTGAGCTTGAAGTGTTATTGGGATACCCAGGTGCTGACGGCACGCAAGCAGTGGGGTGAGATGTGACCCAGGAGCTCCTGAGGGTGGACTAGGCTGAAGGGAAAAATTGGGGGTCATCCTAGACTGGCAGCAAACTGAAGATGTGTTTGTAAATTAGGTAGCCGAGGAGGAGAAAAGGGAGTGAGGAAAAAAGAGGGCAAAGCCTGAGGAAGTGCCGGCGGTCAGCATCCAGGAGAAGATCTGCACAGGGGACAGACCAGAAGCAGCCAGAGAGGCGGGTGGCTGGGACTAGGTGACCGGCTGGAGGCTTGAGGAGTGAAGACAGTTTGAAATGTTTGTGGAAAACAGGAAGCGGGAAGCTGAGACAGACGGGCAGAGCCACCTTGAGGACTCAGGTGAATCTGTTGCTGGTAAATGTCTGGCAGAACCAATCTGCCGGCCCGATCGTCTCCACTGGCTTTTGGCGGTTCAGGTACAGAGAGGACAGCTGGAGTGTACACCCCTGAGCGGGGTGAGCACTGACTGTCCCGAAGGACCTGTCTGAGCGGCTCCCCCACATTCCCCGCAGGGGAAGAAAATCCAGACCTGGGAAGCTACCCTACGGCATTTGTACAAGGATTCTTCTTTAATTAGGCTGCACAACCCCTCAGCCAGCCAGCCTGGAGCCGAGAAGCAAACGGGCGCTGCCTGCCCTGCCAGGAGCCCAGAAACGCCTCGCATGTCAGACGTGGGTACTGCAGCTTTGGGGCACTGCTGCGTGACGTCCATTTGGTTGTCCACTGTACCATGGATGGGTCAGTTCCTGACAGTTCTGACCTGGCGTACACACCCTCTGTGGACGTCAATGCTCGTCTAGGTTTCTGCTCCTTATAGCCAAAGCCACACCCAAGTCAAGTCTACCCTTTGCTCTGTCCCCACCTCCCTCAGACATAAGAAGGCCTCCTGGGAGGCGAGACAGATTTTGCAGCACTTTTAATACACAAAGCAAAAGCCATAGGCTGGCTGGGTGACCAGCCTTCATTCTGCATACAGAGCTCAAGTACAGACAGACCATTTGGGAATTAAGTTACAGCTCACAAGGGCCTGGGAGCCGAGAACAGGAAACGCTGTTCCTTTGGCAGCTGTGGATGTGAGGAGTCCGTTTTCTGGGAACGAAAAGGTAAAAATGAATGTTTCTAGAGTATGGCTGACGAAGAAGGTGGAGTAGCCCAGGCCAGACCTTCTGGCAGGCGAATGGAGCAAGCAGTGCCCAGGGAAAGCCCAGCCTAGCGTGTGTGAGCCGGGCAGGGCAGCTGGCAAGAGAGCACCTCCTGCACTCTGCGCCGTCATCAACACCCGCTGCAATCACACGCTTAGCCATCTCCTTTGATTCTCACAGCTTTCCCCAAACTCCGTGGCTCTTCAGAGAAAGCCAGTGACACAGCATGGTTGAGGTGGGTTTGTGGCAGCCAGTTCCTGCCCAGTTCTTTACAGCTTCTCCTGGGCTCGGCTGCTGCTCTCACCAATGCCCCCACTCCCACCCTCCCACCTACCTATTTTCAGTGCACGGGCTCCATGGCCTGGTGCGCCTGCAGCACGGCCACTGCCTCTTCCACCTGGGGGACGCAAGTTGGAGGGACTTAGTGTAGCATCCCAGCAGGTCCCAGAAGAGCCTTGACACCGCCCCCCCCCCCCCCGCTCCTAGCATGCTGGATCTGAGGATCCTCCTCCATCCACGGCACCTCTGCAGAACCCTCACACTCGCGAGATCCCACGCCCACAGTCACCTCTGAGACAGGTTCACTGCTGGACAGCTGGAAAAACCTTAACCCTATACTGAGGCAGAATGCACCTCCTTGTACCAAAACCTTGCCTCTGGGCCCACACAGAATTAGTTGGAAGAAGCAAAGCCTCAATGAAGGCCCTCTCCCACGCCAGGATTCGGTAGGCCTTCAGGTACCAGCAAGAAGGCAAACTGTATCTGGCCAAACAGCTGCCCATGAGCTTGACTAGGACACTCCATCTTTAGCTCTCCCTCCTGCCCTCTCAGGGCTCCCTGCTGCCCAGGCTCTGGCCTACCTTGGCATGGAGGGACTCTGGGGACTCCAGCATGAGCAACAGCTCCGAGTTGTCGATCTCTAGCAACATGCCCGTGATCTTGCCGGCCAGCCGCGTGTGGACGCCACGGATAAGGTGGTAGAGACGCTCCCCTGTGTAGAACACCCTCCAATGGCTGGTGCACACACCCAGCTCACACCCTGGCGTCCCAGGGGTGGTAGCATGGCATGGAGCAGGGAGGACAAATGGGTTCTTGTCCAGGAACTGTGTGCTGAACCTTACTGGCAGCCTCTTTTCCCCACCGCAAGGTTGGCTCAGCAAATCCCACCGTGGAAGACAATTTCAGAATCAAGTTTGACGTTATATGTGCAGCGTTCTGCAGGATGGGTTCTGACACAAAGTTGGTTGCTGTTTAAAGACCACTCGTGTTCATTTTGCAAGAAATAGCGTGAAGTAGTATACACACTGACATTCTAGACAGGATATGATGATGCTCAACTTGAGACTTTTGGGGGCAGGGTGGGGAGAAAAACACTTAGGATGAATTCACTTTCCACCATCAGGTATCTCTAGTGACAGGGCCTAGTGTGGTGGTCGGCAATGTGTGGAGGGCCCAGCCAGGCTAGACTGCCTTAAGTGGGGGGAGGTGGAGGGGTCTTCCATGAGGAAAGTGAAGACGTGTGCAGGGAACTGCTAACGAAGCCTTCTACCTCATTAAGCTCATTTAAAATTTCTCTGGGGTGCTGTAAAGTGGCAAAACCCTAAGTAAGCTGAGGAAACAATGGGGTGGTGGCAATGGGGGCCTTCAGTGAAGGGTCCAGAGATCTTGGTGGCCATGAAGAACCTGCCAACCAGGAACAAACTTGCTCATTGAAAAACTAGTGGTAATTCTTTTAGCAGGGGCCTGTCACAGACACTAGGGAGGGAGATGAATTGCGCAAGGAACCCAGAGTCCAGTGGGGAACAACATGTGCTCACCCAGTGCACACACATTCCATGCCTCCCTGCGGCGGGCACCGGGACTTCCTCCCGTTCAGGAGGGGTGTGAGGAACGGTAACGCCCACCTTCCCGCCATTTCCCCACAGACGCCCAAGACCATACCCACAGTCCTCCTAACCCTGATCTCCCCATGTCTGGGTGTCGCCCACTCTAAGTCAGAGTCACAGGACAGCAGAGCTGGAACAAACTTTGGGACCATCCAGTCTGACCAGTGTTTTAAAGCAAGAGAAAGGGACCTGGAGAGCAGGGGCAGCTTGAGCAGGGCCAGCCAGCAGGTTGGTCAGCAAGAAAGCTGGACCTCACCCTCTCGTCTGTCCTCCAGGCAGGGCAATTCCCAGCTAGTGTAAAATCCAGCTCCCTGCCCTCTTCTTGCTCAGGAGCAGGAGAAGCAGCCACTCACCAATCATCTGCTTTTGCTCGTTCGGGGACGCCGCAGCCAGCATGGACGTGGTCAGGGGCTCCTGTCCGGGGACGTGCACTGCGGGCTCCTGGACCTGCACGGTGCCAGGGACACATCGCTTAACCACCACGGACTGGCAAGGCCTTGAAACACTTACCCTGTCAGGTGAACACGAGGCCAGGAGGGCTCTGGACGAGGGAAGCAGGGGCAAGGTCTGGATGACCAGGTGGCAGAGGGCCCCTAACAAGGGCACGGTGGGTTAGGAGATAGAATGATGCTCTAACGTGGAAGTTTTCTGTGGTGCTGCAGACCTGTTAAGGCCCATGATGGATGTTGCCAAATGAAAGCCATGCATTATACAAATGACACTGCGCCAGACAAAGAACTTGTGATCAGGTAGCTTTACGGACACATCCTCAGCACTCTCTGACCCTTTCACACCTTGGTAACTTTAAAAGTGTTTTGCTGTTTAAAGACTATTCTTGTTCATCCTTGCAAGGAATAGTTCAAACTAGACATTTAAATTCTGGACAGGATGTGATAATCATGAATTTCAGACTTTTTTGGGGGCAGGGAGATAAATACACAGCCTTTCATTTAATTATAGTATTTTCAGTTAGGTTTTGAGGATAATCTTATCCCTTCAATGCTCTACATATTTTTAGAATACCTTTTCTTGTTGCTTGTATTCTAGTATTTGCTTAACACAAATACTAATGAAATCCAAATTAATTTTGGTAATAACTTGGGCAAAGCAAATTGTAATTAATAAACAAACGTGACCCTGGCCTTCCTTCCCCTTCTGTAAGGGTGATCTCTTATTGATTACACATATTAATAAATGAAACTTTATGAGCCAAGAAAATAAAGAAAGCCAAGGCCCAACACCTTAGCCAAGGTTCTGAGCCAGGCCTTCTGGAGCCCAGACTGAGCAGGCGGCCAGGCCAGCCTTACCCGAGGGATGTTGTATGTTGCTGAAGAACATTTGTATGGAGGGGGAGGCCGGCCTGGCGTGAAGCATCCTGCCCCACTGGGTCCTGTGGTCTGGGTACCAATATTGGCTGGAAAAAAGAAAAAATAAGGTTCATATAGCTACTATCAAAAAACAAAACAGAAAATAACAAGTGTTAGCAAGAATGCAAAGAAGTTGGGGCCCACACCTGTAATCCTAGCACTTTGGGAGGCCGAGGTGGGATGATCCCTCAAGGCCAGGAGTTTGAGGCCAGCCTGAGCAAAATAGCGAGACCTCATCTCTACAAATAAAATTAGCCAGGCACGGTAGTGTGCGACTATAGTCCCAACTACTTGGGAGGCTGGGGCAGGAGGATCACTTGAGTCCAGGAGTTTGAGGTTGCAGTGAGCTATGATGATGCCACTTGCACTCTAACCTGGGCAACAGAGTGAGACCCTGTCTCAAAAAAATAAAAAGAAAAGAAATTGGGACATTTGTGTACTGTTGGTAGGAATGTAAAATGGTGTAGCCCCTATGGAAAACAGTGTAGGGGTTCCTCAAAAAATTAAACAGAATTACCATATCATCCAGCAATTCTACTTCTGCGTATATACTCAAAAGGATTGAAAGTAGGGTCTCAAAATGGTATTTGTACACAAAATTTTATAGCAGCATTATTCAAAATATCCAACAGGTGGAAGCAACCAAGGTGTCCACCAACAGATGAATGAATGGATAAACAAAATGTAGTACACACATACAGTGGACTATTATTCAGCTTTAAAAAGGAAGGAGATGTGGACACATGCTATCACATAGATGCATTCTGAGGACATGCTAAGTGAAATTTAGCCAGTCACAAAAGGGCAAATACTGTATGATTCCACTTATATGAGGTACTAGAAGGGTCAAATTCACAGAGACAGAAAGCAGACTGGTGGCTGCCTGGGGCTGGGGGGAGGGAAAATGAGGAGTTAGGGTTTAATGGCTATAGAATTTCAGTTTTGCAAAATGCATAGAGTTCCAGAGATGAATGGTGGTGATGGTGGCACAACAGTGTGAATGCACTTAACACCACTGACCTAGACACTTAAAAATGGTTAAGTGGTCAATTTTGTGTTATATTTTACTGCAATAAAAAAAAAAAAGGAAAGAAGGAAGAAAGAAAGAAAATAAGCAAAATGTCAGGGCCAGGCAGCAACCTAAGGCCAGGGATTGAGTGTGGCTCGTTCATGCAGAATCCCCCGAGCGTGGGCCAGCACATGAGAACATTCGCTGAATGAAGGAACAGATGTCCTTGCCTTATAGCCAAAATCTACATACGCCCTCATGCACAGCCACTGCAGTATCTCGCACTGAGATTCAGGGCCAGTGCTAAGCCCATGTGTGTGTGATCTCATTAATCCTCAAAAGAAAATGGGGGTATCGTTTTTATCCCTATTTTAAAGATTAGGCGATCAGATACAGTAGTTAGCAAGGGCCACAGAGTGGGTTGGTCCCAGGAACTGGAGGCCAAGCTAACTACCATGCCACATACGGTCTCTAAGGTCAGCCTCGCTCACCAAGCGGGCATACGGCAAGGTCACCAAGGAGGCTGTCCTGATTCCCCTGCAGGGCCAACCCCAGCACCAAGCCCTAACCCACCCCGTACTCCTCTGGGCCCTGCCCACACTCACCCACTCTTTGGATGTGCGGCACTGGGCGTGGCACCTGGGTAGAGGCCTGTCTCACGCTGCTGATGTGGGCCGGGGGACGCCGAGGGATGCCTGGTGGCCGGATCATTGAGGCAGGTGGAGGGTAGGCAGCTTGTGATGCTGATACCATGGAGAGACAAAGGTGGAGTGGGCAGAAGTGGGGGATGATCAGAGAGGCACATCGTGCCCCGAAGATTCCAGGGCCAGCAAGAGCATGGGGAGGGGGATCAGGAAATTCACAGCAGAAAGATGAGTGAATTCACCTAGACCCAGACCTCCAGGGAGGGGGGCGGTGTGGAAATCCGCAATGACAAAGCAAACTTGTGTCTACCCAGAGCCTCAAGATGCATCAGCACCATGATCATACACCTTAGTCCCCCAAGACAGTTTCAAGCGAGTGCGAACTTCACTCTTACAGAGCAGAGTCATTCGTCAACAACATAGCCAGAGGAACTTAATTTTCTCAGCTTTGCAAGACTTTTCAGATCCCCAAATCAGAGAAATCTCTGCAGACACTTACACTGCACTGGCTACATTGCATGTCTTTCCCAGGCTCGCCTCTGCGCTTGGTGCTTTACAACACACCTCAATCCCCTTGTTCAGAAGGGGAAATTGAGGCTGAGAGGTGACGTTACCCCCAGCAAGTGGCAGAGCCAGGCCCGACCCCTATGTTATCACTGCCTCATGGGGTCCACACCCACAGGCCAGGCGGAGGGTAGAAGGGGCTGGGTCACTCACACGGAGGTCTAGGTGGCTGGGCCGTCCACCTGGGGGCAGGCTGGGTGGGTGGCACAGGGCTGGAGCCATAGTACGCAGCCTGTGCTGGAGGCTGCATGGAAGAAGAGGACCTAGAATAAAGGGCTTTGCAGCAGGATAGGTGAGAAGCTACATCTCCTCAGTGACACTGTTGCAGGAACGCCACTGTCTCCTTTAGGGGACTGGTTAGCAAAGATCCACGAAGCTGGAACGAAAGCTCCTTCCTCCCGTCTCAGGATGTCTACTGGCCCCCAAATCTCAGATTTCAATCTTTCCTCCTCATCGGAGTTAGCCCCTGGATAAAAAAGGTGACATCTTACTCCAACTTGTGGCTGCTTAAGCAACTGCTAAAAGGAGAGGAATGTTCCCTTGCTGGTGGCCTTCACTGCTTACATCTTTCTACTTCCTCTAAGTCCCATGAGGTCCCTTCCCAGCTATGCTCCTCAGGACATTAACGTCCAGGGCAGATGTTAACAGGCATCGGATAAAAAAATGACCGTCTAAGTCAGGGAAATGCTATATATTCTATGCCATAATAGATATGGGCATATTAGGGTACAATGATGTATATAGTAAAGAAATTGAGGGTTTTTTTTGTTTAATGCAACATTTCCCAAACTTATTTGACCATCAAAAGTCTTTTTCAGCACAGCATTCATGAATCTCTTGGACTGGGAAATGCTGTTTGACAGCAACACCGTAACCCTCTTTTGCAGATGGGGAAACTAAGAGCTCAGCAGTGAAACAGCCTGCCTAGTGAGTTGCCTAGCAAGTCGCCTAGCGAGTTTTCCGCAGAAGCGAGTGGGGAGCCTGCATTTGCCTTGTGAAGCTCTAGTCTTCCTGCTCTATCTGCTGTCAGGGAGCGAATGTGGCAGGAGCCATGGGCAGGCCATCACCTGGGGCACGGCGGGCAGGAAGTAGGTGGTGGACTGCTGGAAGGATCCCAAGAAGGGGCTGCCCAGGGCCCGCATGGTGGACAGGCGCTGCATGTACTGATTGGTCAAGATGGCCTTCCGCTCCTCTTTGCGCTGTGCCAGCGCCACGTAGAGCGGCTTGGTGCCCACGATACGCCCGTTCATCTCTGTCACGGCCTTTGTCGCCTCTTCTGGAGAGGAAAAACACACAAAGCCAAACCCCCTGCTGTGGCCACCCTCTGTCATCACCTAAAAGCAAGACAAAAAAAAGAGCTGCTGGGGGTGAGGAAGGAAGACTCCTTAAACTGTGCTCCCCTCCTCCCCTTGGGCCCAGCCCAGCGCTGAGCAGGCCGTGCGAAGCCTGTGAGGGAGGGATGGGCCGCCACCCCGCGTTTACTGAGGCCTGCTGCATGCCAGATACGTGGCGTGCCTTCACACGACACACAGCCTCCTGATACCAGAGGTACTGCGACGCCCACTTTATAGGTGAGTGAGGGAGATTCGAGAGTGACTTATCCACGGTCACCAGCCAGGGGCTCATACTGTCATGGAGGTAAAGGTCTTAAAAAGGGCAATGGAATGTTTATGGGTCGTCTCTTTAAAACCCCCAACCCTTTTTGGGAATTAAAACGTGCATTCCTTCCCAAGGCCAGTGATCAAAGGAGCAGAAAAATGTTCTTTGCTGTTTGTTTTCTAGTATCTTAAACCACAGGAGATGGTTCAACAGAACTGTCTAAGGGTCACGAGATCACTGGAGATAAGGTCAACCGAAACCACCAAAATTATAGCTAAACAACAATAGCCCAAAGCCATGACATATGACACCAGTCACAGTCACGGAGACCTGAGCCCAACTGCGGAAAACCCTCCCTTTAAAAAGCCCTGCTTTTCTGCTTAGAGACAGGATGGTGGTCTTTGAGAGGCTAGTCCACCACCTTCCTCGTTCGCAGGCAAATTAACAAACTTCTCTTTCCTTTTCCTCAAACCACTTGTTCTCATTCTTCGTTCTCACTGATTCAGCCTCAGGGACAAGTACAGAACTTTTGGTGACAATACACCAGCCAGGACTCAACCCAACAACTGTTCTGGTAAACCTCTATTGCCTCTGCAAGGTACCCAGCCAAGTTCTTCAGGTGTTTGGGGAAGAGGTTCTTAGCCTTTTTATTAAAATAACCTTTTTACTTTGGAATAACTTCAGATTTACAAAAAAGTTACAAAAACAGTACAAAGAGTTGCTATTTAGCTTTCATCCAACTTCCCTTAATATTAACATGGTACATTTGTCAAAACTACAGCATTGGTAGTTTTGACTGGTACAATGCCATTAACTATTATACTATTAGCTCCTATTAACCATAATGCTATTAACTGAACTGCAGACTGGGATTTCACTTTTTTCCACTAATATTCTTTGTCTCTTCCAGGACCCAATCCACATTGCATTTAGGGTTGTTAACCTTTTTTAGGGTCAAGACACTGGCCTGGCTTATTCACTGTATAAGGAATAGAGCTATTTTTAAAACCTGCCCTATTAGAGCCCACGCTGTAAATCAGTGATTTTCAGACTGCATCCTGCTACCCATTAGGAGAGAGGTCTTAACCTGAGAGTCCACAGACCCCCCTCAGGGAGGTCATGAATATAGTTCAGGGGGTCTATGAACCCGGATGGGGAATAAGTGACATCTTTATTTTCAAATTAGCATGTCCTCCTATTATGACTATGGGCAAAAAAAATCATAGCAGTAGTAGTTGTACCTGTGACTTTATCGTGAAAAAAATCAAATATTGTCTTATTACCTTATTACTAACCTCAAAAATATTTGTGCTAATTGCTGTTTTGCTAGATCTTAAGGTTTACTACGTTAATAAAGAAGCACATACTGCCATAGCTTTAGTATTCTGATCACTATATTTCAACATAATTGCTTTTATAATCCCATGAATTTTATTTTATGTATTTAAAAATGTTGTTAGAAGGGATGCATGGGCTTTATCAGACAGCTAAAGGAGTCCTAACACAAAACCATTGTTAAGAACTTTTTTTTTTTTTTGAAACAGAGTTTCATTCTGTTGCCTGGGCTAGAGTGGCTCACAGCAACCTCCAAATCCTGGGCTCAAGGGAGCCTCCTGCCTCAGCCTCCCGAGTTGCTGGGACTACAGGCATGCACCACTATGCCCGGCTAATTTTTTTTTCTATATATATTTAGTTGTCCAGGTTATTTCTTTCTATTTTTTCAGTAGAGACGGGGTCTCGCTCTTGCTCAGTCTGGTCTTGAACTCCTGACCTCAAACGATCCACCCGCCTCGGCCTCCCAGAGTGCTAGGATTACAGGCGTGAGCCACTGTGCCCACCCTGTTAAGAACTTCTGTTAGTAGGTAGTTAACAATGATAAAATTAGTAAAGCTAACACTTACGCAGAGCTTACTACGAACTTGGTAGTGGTATAAGTATCTGTATACATTAACCCATTTAATTTTCACAATCACTATTTTATATAAAACAAAAAATATGTAAATTTTATAGATAAAAATATTTAAAAATCCCCATTTTATAAACTGGCGTATTAAACAGCCTCTTTAATTGTTCTCAGGACATCTCTAGAGGTGGTTAATGTCACTCCCATTTTGCAGGTGGATAAACGCTTGCCTCAGGCTCTGCTGCTATGTAACGGTAGGACTGGGATGTACATCTAGGTCTGATTAACTTTAAAATCCCAGCTTTCAACCATACTGCCATACAAGTGTGTATGCATTTTCTGGGCGAGAGGCCCACAGGTTTTTATAGTGTTTAATCAAATTTTCTGATGCCTAATGTACATATCTCACAGCTTTCTGTCACATTTTTCCAAAAGCCCTAAACCCAAAAAGCTTTAGAACATTTATTTCGCACCCCACCCCAAACACCAGGCTCCCTGAAGGATATTTAAAATTGGACTCAACAGGCAAAAGAACTCCTAGACCACTTTCTCAGAACCCAATCATCTCATCACGCACAAGGGTCCCCAGCCCCATCACCCACACTGATCTCTTTGGAAAGTTCCTCATTCCCACCCGAAGCTCCCTGCCTGCTGCTCACAGTCAAGTCAAATACTGCTGCCACTACTGCCGCTTCTTCCAGGAAGTCCTCCCTCCTGCCCCACAGAGTGCCTGCAGCTCCGCCTCCCTGGCTTATAAAATACAAAAGGTAGTGATGAGTCTGACTTCTTCACTACACTATCAGCTACTCAAAGGCAGGGGCCACATCTGGTTTGTTCCCATATGTTTCCCACAGAGCCTGGTAAGACAGCAGGTGCTTGAATACGGAATGAACATTGAGTCATCTCAAAATTAACTGGGGAGCTTTTAAAAATAAAAGGTCCAACCCCTAGAGATCTACTTTCAACACCTGCCCCAGGCATCTACTTAAGAACTGCCCAGGGGAGTCTAATGAGAAGCCAAGGCTGAGGACCACCCAGGGAGCCCAACACCCCCATCCTATGGATGAGGCTCAGGAGTTAAGACACCTGCTCAAGGTCACAAAGCTACTGAGTAGATGGGGCAGTTGTCACATCTCGGGTGCCTAAGAGGGCTGGGCACGCAGTAGGTGCTCAATAAATGGAGAACAATGAATGAAGAGTGACGCAGCCCAACCCTCTCATTTTCCAGATGGGAAATCTGAGGCCCAGAAGGGATTATGTCATTGGTGAAGGGCAGACAACAATAGTCAATGGAGACTTGGATTTCTGGAATCTGGCATACAGTAGGTGCTCAATAAATGCTTGTAGACTGAACCAAGGTTACAGTGAGCCCCAACAAGTCCAGCTATGTGACTGGGACTGTATTTCTAGCCTCTTTCCTTCCAGCCCAGACAAGGCTGCAGGTGGACCGCAAGCTCCTATGGGGTCAGAGGCCCAAAATGGGCAGCTCAGCACAAACTCCCAGGAAGCCATGCAGTAAGAGGATGGTGGAGGCATAGGGTGGTGACAGGGAAGGCTGTGCCCTTGGAGGTGTCCCCAGCCCTCACCTTCGCACTGGTAATCACTCCATAGGGAGAGAACTCTTTCCTCAGTTTCTCATCATCAATGGAATCATCCAGGTTCTTCACATACAGGTTCACGCCCTGGAAGGAAGGGACATGGCTAGATGTTTCCCTCCCTCCAAACCCCAGACGGCCCTGGGGAGAGCAGGGGGCTGACGTAGGCTCGAATGGCACCGGGAGCCCTGCTGGCCCAGCCTTCTGCTCCTATTTCCCACAGCACCTGTGTACCCGATCACTCGCCTTCCCATCACCAGGGGGCTGCAGCCCCCACAATCCCTAGGTCCCCCGGCAGATCTCATACACCTGCACTGGTCCCAGCCTCTGCCCCTTTCATAGAGGGGACCCTGAGGCACAGGGCCAGCCCCAAGATAGCTCTCCAGATGGCTGACGTGGAGCAGCAGGAGGCAGAGCTCCTCGTGGGCCGGGCCCCGGGCCAGACCCCAAGTACAGGTGACAGCTGCCTTCCACGCCTACCAGCTGAGGAACCCCAGACACAGCACCCATGGCGGTGCCAGGCGGCACTCTAAGCTCTTTCACACATTTTAATTGTGAATTTGCACCACAGCCCTACAAGGAGGAAATGTTTATGCCCACTTTACAGATGACAAAATGGAAGCAAGAACAGGTTAACTAAACTGCCCCTACGTGGCGGAGACAGGACTGACCCACGCAGTCTCACTTCAGTCTGTGCTCCTCACTCTTGACTGACAGCTGCCTCCACTGCCTTCCTCCTTCCAGACCTCCCAAGCACAGAAGTGTGTGAAGGCACAAGGAAACAGAGACCACACAGCTATACAGTGTAACATCCGGCTCTCACAGATTGGATTACACGATGAGCATTTTGTGCTGGAAGTCTATAAACCCTGAAAACGTACATGCACAACTGGGGGTGGTGGTGTACATATGAGGTTGTCAAGATCAGCACTAGGGACACTTTGTGCCAGGTAGTTCTTTGCTGTGGGGTTGTCCTGTGCACTGCAGGGTGTTTGGCAGCACCCCTGGCCTCCACCCAGCAGATGCCAGTGGCACCCTATCACCCAGATACGAGTACTGAAAATCCCAGTGCCAAGTGTCCCCCTGGAGACAAAACTGTCCCTCATTAAGAACTACTGGGTATGTACGTTAGTGTGAGTGTGTGTGTGTGTGTGTGTGTGTGTGTGTGTGTGTGACTATGTATATTTATACCCTTCCCCATCAGGGATCTAGAACTTCTACTAAAAGTTTTAGGGGTGTTCATTTTCCAGAGAGGTTCAGATTGTACTAATCTATGACATACATTTTAATTAACTGTATTAACTGAATTTTAATGGCTACACAACATTCCAACTTTTGGATGTAACATATTACATCCGAATTATTTCAGCCAGGAGTAAGACTTCTTCTGGGGGCATTTGGCAATACACAGGGCACTTCGATTGTCCGTGACTGGAGGAGGCAGCTGGTATTGAGCGCGCAGGGGTCGGAGATGCTAACTGATCCCACGCAAAGGATTATTCCAACCAAAAGGTCACAGCGCCCCAACTAACCCCCTATGGCCTGGGCCGTTGGGGTGTGTCCAGTCTCTCCACTGTTACGAATCAGGCCGTGGAGACCATCCTATGCTCATCTGATCCCTACCCCGAGCCACGTACCCAGAAGTAGGGTCACTAGAGAATGGACTCCCATTCGGGGACCTCTCCCCCATGCACAGCCGCTCTCGCGCAGCTGCGATTGCCACCAGGAGGCCCGAGCTCACCTGGTAACGTTTCAGCCGGTCCTGCTTCATCTGCTCGAACCTGCGCTTCAGCTCCTTCTGCCGCTCCACCCGCTTCTGGGCCCGGCCCACGTAGAGCAGCTGCCCGCTCACCTCCTTCCCGTTCATGTGGACCACAGCCTGCAGGGACAAGGTGGGAGAGCTGCCTGGTAACCCTCTGGCCGTGGCCCTGGCCCTCACCCTGGCCTAGAGGAGCCACCTGGAAACCAGGCCATCCATGCCAACTGAGAGTAATTAGCACCGGGATAAAGGCCATTTAAAGTACATCCACTTTTTAAAAATATGAACATTTCAGAGTAAACCACAGATTAAAAAAATTGGGGCTGGGTGAGGTGGCTCATGCCTGTGATCCCAGCACTTTGGGAGGCCGAGGATTGCTTGAAGCCCGGAGTTCACGGATACAGCAAGCAAGCTATGATCGGGCCACTCACTCCAACCTGGGCAGCAAAGTGAGAACCCATCTCTTAAAAAAAAAAAAAAAAAAAGAAAGAAAGAAAAAAAAGGGAAAAAAATGTGATTGTGTCTCTACTTTAAAAAGTGAAATTGAAGTTTGCAAAATTTCCCATCTTTAGAATTTAAATATTTTAAATATGCATTTAAAGTATGGGAAGATCTAAATATATTACTAAGTGAAAAAAGTTATGCAAAGCCTACATACTCTATGATTCCAACTACATGACATTCTAGAAAAGGCAAAACTACAGAGCCAGTGAAAGGTTCAGGGGTTGCCAGGGGTTAGCAGGCAGGGAGGGATGATCAGCCAGAACACAGAGGATTTTTAGGGCAGTGACAATACTCTGCATGATACTAAAATAGTGATACAGGCTGGGCATGGTGGCTCACGCCTGTAATCCTAGCGCTGTGGGAGGCTCATGTGGGAGAATCGCTTGAGGCCAGAGTTTGAGACCAGCCTGGGTAACAAAGCGAGACCCCTAGACCTATCTCTACAAAAAGAAAAAAAACTGGCCAGTCACAGTGGCTCATGCCTGTAATCCTAGCACTCTGTGAGGCCAAGGTGGGAGGATTGCTTGAGCTCAGGAGTTCAAGACCAGCCTGGGCAAGAGTGAGACCCCATTCCTACCAAAAATGGAAAAAATTAACTGGGCACAGTGGCGAGCGCCTGTAGTTCCAGCTACTCAGAAGGCTGAGGCAGGAGGATCACTTGAGCCCAAGGGTTTGGGGTTGCAGTGAGCTATGATGATGCCACTGTACTCTACCCAGGGTGACAGAGGAAGACTGCCTCAAAAAAAAAAAAAAAAAAATTAGCCAGGTGTGGTGGCACACACCTGTGGTCCCAGCCACTCAGGATGCTGAGGCAGGAGGATCACTTGAATCCAGGAGTACAAGGTTACAGTGAGCTATGATGACACCACTGTACTCTAGCCTGGGTAATAGAGTGAGACCCCGTCTCAAAAAATAAATAAAAATAAAAATAAAATAAATAAAATAGTGGCTACATGTCATTTGGGAGGGCTTTAATTCATTCTTTTAGAAACATTTGTGTCTTAACCCTTGTTGATTTTTCTTCTCTTCAGTTAACTGGCCTAAGCCTACTAGATCCTAAGTGCCACTGCATAAAATCCTGCATCTTCTGCAAGATGTGCAACTTGTCTCTGCAATCCATTTACACTGGACTGAATTTTCATTGACTTATCCGCAAAAATCATCAGAAGTCAGACCTAAGTATATATATTGACTCAATAGTTAGGATCGGACACTGGCGTTAGGAGAAATGTTTGAAGAGGAACTGGTTTTTCAAATGGTCAGTTCACTAACAAATATCTTTACATAAAATGATGACTTTTGCTTCCCAGCTAAATATTCAATTGTGTGGACCTCAGGTCTTAGAAGCAACAGAAGAAGGATGAAGCCTTTGGCCTTTGCACCACCGGCAGGAAGGGTCCTGCCTCCTGCCCAGGCTGGGGAGGGACAGCCGGAGCCTGCAGCTGATCTCCCTTCTTCCCGGTCCTGGCTCGGTGCCCCCTCCACGGAACAGAGCTGTGGGGAGGCTCCTACCTTCTGGGCTTCTTCATGCTTCTCAAAGTTGACAAAGCCAAAGCCCCGAGAGTGGCCACTGTTGTCCCTCATCACCTTCACACTCAGCATCTTTCCTGGGAAGGACCAACCTCACTCAAAGCTGAGCTTGGGAAATCCCAAGGTGTTCCCTCCCTTACCACAAGTCCTCAGGAAGCCCCAGAAGGGCCCCTCCTCCCTGCCAGACCTGGAGGAGAAGAGGAGAAATAGTGACCCCTCCTCCCTCGGGAACACGCCCACCAAACTGGGAGAAGAGCTCCTGCAGGCCGTGCTCATCCACGTCCGCTTGGAGGTTCTTCACGTAGATGTTTGTGAACTCCATGGCCCGTGCCCCCAGCTCCACCTCCCGCTCCCGTCGGGACTTGAAGTCGCCAACAAAACTGTGGACACAACAGGATAGGCAGCTGTAGCCATTAGCCACCCCCATTCCCAACCCAGGCCCAATTGCTGCCCTTCTCCAAGGCCTCCATGTCCCTCATCAGGAGACTGGGTGGACAGCACTCCTTAGGATATACCCAAGGCCCAACCACCTCCAACAGCCAGGGTGCGATGTCCCAGAGCTTCTCCCCAGCATGAGGTTAAAAATTCTTTCTTGTGACAAATGCATACAGAACTAATACCATATACTAGGCAGGAGAGAGTGCAGGAGATAAGAGCATGAACTTGACAGTCAGACACATAAGGGATTGGACCCTTGCTCTGCAACTGCCTAGCTGTGTGACCCTGGGTAAGTTATTTAACCTCTCTGAGCCTCAGTGTTTATTCCTGTAAAACTGGGGATCAAATCCATGTCACCGGGCTTTATTTATTTAACATGTACTGGAAAGCAGCGGTAAGCAAATTAGACACGGTCAATGCCAGTGTCACCATGGGGGTGGGGAATGGGGTGAAACCACTTAAATACAACATTAATTTTTAAAAGCTGTAATTTCCAAGTTCAGGTCAACACATCTAGGAAAATATCCTAGATGAGGAAAAAAAAAAAAAAAAACCAAGCATAAGAAATTCTGGTGGTATCTACAGCACATTTAGCACAAACGAGTGGCGGCAGGCACCAAAAACTGAAGAAGACTGAGTGGCGAAGGTAAACTTGAATAAATTATAGCCAGATATCGGCATCTTTCTGAGAACTGGGAAAGCCCACGAGATTAGCTGGGCAGGTGGACGGGCTCCTCCCCTCAGAAACCCTGAACAAAAATGACTCTCAGTGCCTCTCCCAGCTCAAAGCCACCTTCACTCCCAAGCCCTGACCACGGGGCTGGGCCATCAGATGGGCAGAATCAAAACCTGGGGAGGGGAACAGCCGGCGGCAGATTCTCTCCAGCATCTGTATCTCAATTTTCCCATCTGTGAAGTGGGGGTGATACCAAACTTTACAAAGAGGGCGGGCTAAGCATACACCTACTTTTCTTTCCACCCCCAAATCTCATGAAACACCACAAAAGGTTTAAGAAATAAAATTCACAGCCATACCGAGAAGGCTGGAAGACAGATGAAATCACTGAGTTGATTAATGACATGGCCATTAGCTGTTCCCTCCAGAATTTCAAAATCACCACGATCTTTACTACTCAGAACAATCCTCTATGCATATCCTCGGCTCATTTTCACGTGCGGGAAGAGAGTCCCTGAGAAATGGAGCAACCTGTCTGAGGTCTCACTTTGAGGAAGACTGCCCGCTGCGCCATGCTTCTGTCCCCACGGCCTCGGCCCCTCCCCGGGCCCAGCACTCACACTTTGCGGTCGTTCAGCAGCATCCCGTTCATGGTGCTGATGGCGTTCTGTGCGGCTTCCTGGGTCTCAAAATGAACAAAGCCAAAGCCCCGGGAGCCATGCTCGTCACACGCCACCTGGGCCACAGGGACGGAGGACAGGGAAAGCATGGACAGAGGGCTCAGGCAGAAAAGCATGGCAAAGGGCATGATGACCTGCACCTGCATGCCTGCTCTGCAGACAATCCTACACCACATAGCAGCCCCACGTTAGAGATGGGAAACTAAAGCTCAGAGAGAGCCATCCACTTGCCTAACGTAACAGACTAAGGAGGAAGAATGTCCTCAAATGAACACAGGTTTCATCTACACCACAGATCAGCTTTTTGTTTTGTTTTGTTTTTTGAGACAGAGTCTCACTCTGTTGCCCTGGCTAGAGTGAGTGCCGTGGCGTTAGCCTAGCTCACAGCAACCTCAAACTCCCGGGCTCAGGTGATCCTCCTGCCTCAGCCTCCCGAGTAGCTGGGACTACAGGCATGCGCCACCATGCCCGGCTAATTTTGTCTATATATTTTTAGTTCTCTGATTAATTTCTTTCTATTTTTAGTAGAGATGGGGTCTCGCTCTTGCTCAGGCTGGTCTCGAACTCCTGAACTCAAACAATCCACCCACCTCGGCCTCCCAGAGTGCTAGGATTACAGGCGTGAGCCACCGCGCCCGGCCCCACAGATCAGCTTTTAACTGTCGTAAGGCGATGAGCAAAAGGATAAGATTCAAACCCCTACACTTGCATCCTTGTTTCTAACAGCAAACTAGAAACAACCTGAGGCCCGGCGTGGTGGCTCACACCTGTAATCCTAGCACTCTGGGAGGCTGAGGCAGGTGGATCGCTCAAGGTCAGGAGTTCGAGACCAGCCTAAGCAAGAGTCAGACCCTGTCTCTACTAAAAATAGAAAGAAATTACCTGGACAACTAAAAATATATAGAAAAAAATTAGCCAGGCATGGTGGCGCATGCCTGTAGTCCCAGCTACTTCAGAGGCTGAGGCAGGAGGATCGCTTGAGCCCAGGAGTTTGAGGTTGCTGTGAGCTAGGCTGAAGCCACAGCACTCTAGCCCGGGCAAGAGAGCCAGACTCTGTCTCAAAAAAAAGAAAAAAGAAACAACCTGAGTGTCCATCAAGGGGAAACCAGTTAAAAAGATTACAATACATTCGTACTGGCCTCCTGTACGTGCACAATTGAAGAGGATGTGGTATATGACATGGCTGATAGCTATCTATAAGATATATTGTTAAGTGAATTAAAAAGTCCATTTGGGTTAAAGTGAGCATCTATGCATTCAAAGCTTTAAACAGACACACACAAAACTGTTAATAATGATTATTTCTGGGGACCAGGGCTGGAAGAGAGAGAGCCTTCTTTTTCACTTTCTTCCCTTCCACATTGTTTAAACTTTATCAATTCATGTATTATTTCAACAATAGACTTGTTTCAATTTTTAAAAAGATGCACAAACATCCTGTCCCCATTCCATAACCCTCCCAATTCAAGTTATTACAGAAGGACAGAGCTTAAGAGCAGGGAAAGACCTTCTAGTTCACATCCCTCTCGTTGAGTGTGCAGAAAGACCCCGGACCCCGTTTCAAGGGCACCGTGGCCCCACTCATCCCTGCAGCCACGGCCTCAGCTCCTACATGGCGTTTTCTGCCTAGACGACCACCCCACCTCCCATCCCAGCTGTGCACTGACCACTGGGATACTCTTTCTAAAATGTAATTCTGACCATGTCCCTTTAATCTCTAGTAGCTTCCATCCACAGAACTATATCAACTTGGAATTTGAGGCTCTCCAAGGGGCCCTGCACAAGTACTGATTCCGAATCCATGCCTCGCCTGCGCCTCTCTACCTCTCCAGCCCCAAACAGGGTCCTTCCACTGTCAGCTCAAGCCCTAGCTCTTCCATTCAGCCTTAATCATGTCGACTGGGTCAAGCACCTGCTAACAGCATCACACACTAACCTTGTTATATTTGCCCTGAGAACTCTTCCAAGCAATTCTTCACCTCTGAGCCCCAGGGGAGAAAATGTAAATAAGTGACTTGTCCAAGGACAGCCAGCAGAAGGAATTTCTTAATTATTATAGTTATCACTTAGATGCTTAATATGCCAGGTCCCTTTTAAGGACCACACAGGTGTGAGAAAAACCCAACACATAGAAAATACGTGTGATCAGGGCCAGGCGCAGTGGCTCACGCCTGTAATCCTAGCACTCTGGGAGGCCAAGGCGGGAGGATCGTTTGAGCTCAGGAGTTCGAGACCAGCCGGAGCAAGAGCGAGACCCCGTCTCTACTAAAAGTAGAAAGAAATTGGCTGGACAACCAAAAATATATAGAAAAAATTAGCCAGGAATGGTGGCACATGCCTGTAGTCCCAACTACTTGGGAGGCTGAGGCAGGAGGATGGCTTGAGCCCAGGAGTTTGAGGTTGCTGTGAGCTAGGCTGATGCCACGGCACTCTAGCCCGGGCAACACAGTGAGACTCTGTCTCAAAAAAAGAAAATACTTGATGAATCTGCCATTATTTTTGTAGGAACTTACCACACAATTAAGAGTCTCTGTCTTCCATTGATTCTCAAAGACAGGGAACAGCCCTGTTTCTTTGCCACAGAGAATTATTAGCACATTGCTGTACTTCTTAAGTCTGCTCCTCTGAGCCACAGAGATAGCCCCCTATTCACGGGGAGGTTGTGAGTCCTATTTGAGAACTTAAGGATTGTGCCTGGCGTAAAAGTGGTCCTCAGTAAAAGTTCTAACATAGTGGTCACCAAAATTCCCCCTGTGCTCTCCAGAAGGGGCATACACCCCAAAGGATACGGGGTAGCCATCCTCATAAAATCTAGAGGCAGAACATCCAGGTGTAAACCCTCTGGGCAAGGCACAGACCTACTACTGTATGGCCTCAGATCCTCAACATCCTCAAAGTCAAAGAAATAAGCAGAGCCCTTTCCAAATGATGATACTCAAATATTTACTAAGCATCTAATATGCGTCACATCTTATTCTAAGTACTGAGATACAACAGCGACTAAGAACAGGATCACTACTCTCTCATGGCACTCACATTCTAGTATAAGAGAAATCTTAGAAACAAGATGTGGTCCATTGATTGCTGTGGTGGCCCCAAATGATGGCCTTCCTGTTGCCACACCCTTCATCCTATCACTTCTACTGCCCTCTCATTCTGAATGTGGGCTGGCCTTGTGACTTGCTTTGGCCAATCCAACGCGGTGTTAGTGATAGTGTTCCCGTTCTGAGTTTAGGTCTCAAGAGGAATGGGGAGTTTCCGCTCTGTCTTCTGGGACCCTGCCTTTGCCGTGAGAAGAGCCTGGGTGAGCCTGCTGGAGGATGAAAAACCACAGGGAGGAAAGCCAAGATGTGCCGTCTGGCAGCCAGCTGCTCCCTCACATGCCCACCGAGAGCTCCCATCCAGCTTTTAGCGGGCCTAAGAGGGAGCCCAGCCAAGACCAGAAGAAACGTCAGCTGAACCCAGCCCAAACTGCCAACTGCAGCATTGTGAGCTAACTACATGGTTGTTGTTGATAGCCACTAAGTCTGGGGCGGCTACACAGCAAGAGCTGACCCACACACAGGTAACCTCTGATAGTTCATGGAAGATCAAACTGAAAGAACAGCTACCATTCAAGTGCTTGCTATACCTGCAGCTTTACTGAAAGGACCTTGTAAACTGTAAAGTGAGGTGTTACTTGGCATCCCTGTACAAGACAGGCAGTTGACACTGATCCTCCCAAAGAGGCACACCCACCTTGCAAGAGAGGATGTTCCCAAAGGTGGAGAAAGTATCATATAAAGCCTTGCTGTCGATGGAGTCCTCGAGGTTCTTGATGAAGATGTTGCCCACACCTGACTTGCGAAGTCCTGGGTCTCGCTGGGACCACATCATGCGGATGGGCTGGCCTTTGATCATCTCAAAGTTCATTGTGTCCAGTGCCCGCTCCGCTGGACAGGAAGAGGAGAGAAAGGAGCAAGTTAAGGGGATTTTATTACCCTGACCCTGCTAAGGTGCTTAATTAGAGGCTGGGGGTGGGGAGAAAGGAAGTCGATGTCTGAGTCCCACCTGAGATGAGAGCCTGAAGGCTCAGGAGGGATGAGGTAAGAGAATTGGTGTGCATGGTGCTCAGCCCACCTTCTAGCTGTGATCTCATTCAACTCCTCACTGTAGCCATATGAGCATGGATTCCTATTCCCATTTTACAGATGGGAAAATTGAGACTCGGAAAGGTGAAAAGTCAGTGGCAGAGCCAGGTTTATTCTAGCCTCGAAAGCACACTGAGTAGATAAGAATGTCCCTACGACCAGGGATGATAGCAGTTTGAGGAAATTTAAGCTCAGAGGTGCTGAAGAGCAGAGTTGAGATTCAATCCCAAGCAGTCTGGCTTTGGGGGAAGTGAACATCACCTCTCTGAGCCTGTTCCTCCCCTGCAAACTGGGGATGATGATAATGTTACCTATTTTTCCACACCTAACAAAGGGAGATATACCACCTACCTCCAGGTTGTCCAACAGATCGAAAGTTAAATGAGGCATGCAAGGGGCCTTGCTTGTACTTTGTGCCTGACACAAAACAGGTGTTTGGTAAATAGTTGTGCTGAAAACAGCAGCCTATGCCCCTCCTCCTGCAACCGCTATGGCCTATTCCCTCCCAGGTAATGTGCACCCCCTGCTTTAGGGACTCTGCTAGTCTCAAAGGCATGGAGGGGCTGCGGGGAACACAGGGAGCAAGTTTCAGGAAACGTGGGTTCTCCATCAGGTCCTCCCACAAACACCCAGGGGCAAAGCCCTTCTCTCTGCAGCTTAGTTTTCTCATCATGAAGTGGGGCAAAAAGGTCAGGTCCTGCTTCACTCGCAGGGCTTGGAGGAAGATGGGAAGAGGCAGGAGGTGGGGCAAGGGGAAGGCACCCTGGAATCCAGCTCAGTCACCTATGGGGAAAGGGCTCTACAGAAAAACCTGTCCCCCAGCAAAGCCCCAGCCCAGGGAACCTCCCCATCCACCCAGGAGACCTGGAGTAAGGGTGCCCTCTTTGGACTTGGCTGGGGCAGGCCTTTTTGGTTAAGTTTCTGGAGTCTTATACCAGAAGGTTACGGCCACTATTGTTTTTCTTAGGTTATCACTTAAAGGCACTTACAATGTACCAAAAGGCAAACAGGAGTTACTTCCTAGACATCAGTTCTCCATTCTTTATGTTACTGGGGAATAAGTCTTAGCCCCATCTTACAGATGACGAGGTGCCCAAGCTCACGCCCTCAGGGCAGAGCTCCAGCAAAACCTGCTGCTCTAATCTTCAGTCTCTCCCCTCTCAACAGAAGTGCAGAGATCCTCATCTGACAAGCTCTAATCAATCCTATCAGCTGTGAGAAAATGGGGGAGGCCACTTTTCAGGGCACAGAGGTGGAGGCACCAGCTGTGGATCTCACGTCACACTGCCCAGAGAGGCCGGAGCCCAGGACCCAGCTCGCTTGGCTTCCTCACCAGGTGCTTTGAATCCCTTATGCTCACAAACACTCTATAAGGCAGGCAAGACCCCCATTTTCCAGACAGGCACCTGAAGCTCAGAATGGCTGCATAACTCGCCCAAACACAGCTGCTGTGTTTCTACCCCAAGGCCTGCCTGACCCTAAAGCCCTTCGCTGTTTTCACTCGTCCTTCACCTCTCTCCTCTGGGAAGTGGCGCAATACCAGCAAGCTGCACAGCAACTGCCAATTCCCATCTCAGAGACCGGCCCCTGCCAACGCCCTGAATCTTTGGGCCTCAGTTTCCCTGGCTGCAAAATGTCTTAAATGAAAGCGCGGGCAGCCCAGTCCCGGATGCTGTCTCGCTTGTCTCTCTGCTGGCTGTCCGTCTGTCCGTCGTCGGTCGTCCTGTCCATCTCCCGCTCCCCCGGGGCTCACCGTCGGCGGGCTGCTGGAAGTTGAGGTAGGCGTACCCCAGCGAGCGCCGGGTGGCCACGTCGCGGCACACGCGGATGGACAGGATGGGGCCGGCAGGCGAGAACTTCTCATAGAGCATGGCCTCGGTCACGTCGGGGTGCAGATCGCCCACGTAGAGCGAGGCGAGGGGGTAGCCCGAGCTGCTGGCGTTCATGGTGGGCAGGGGGCCGGGACTACTGGGGAAAACGAGGAAACGAGGAGCCGGGTCACCGAGCGGCCCTCGCTCACCCAGGCCGGAGCCTCGGAAGCGGCGGGAGCACAGGGCAGCTCCGGAGCTCTCCCTTCCCGGCGTCGGCCGGCCCCTTCCCTTTACCGTCCCCGGGGCCCAGAGAGCCAATGGTGGGCGCGCTCGGGAGCCCCGCCCCGGGACCCTTCCTGAGCCCACACCCCACCTGGGCCCAAAGTGATCTAGAAGCCGCAGGTGGGGGCATCTCTGACCCCGCCCCGAGAGGCGGAGAAAAGCCCTCGATTTGGCCTAGGGTGGGGCTGCAGAGGAGTGGGTGGAGCTGAGAACTCCCAGCAGTGGGACCGCAAATTCGGTTCTAATTCCAGAGTTAGGTCATTGCCTTTCTGGACTCCTTTACTCTCTCGGTAAAATGGGAACGACTACCTCTTGGCAAGGATTAAGAGAGACCGTGCTTTTTGTGCATTTCACATACCAATGGGAGAATTCCGAACCGGACACCCTGTTTCAAAGTTTGTGTTGAGAATTTTTTCCAAAATACCCTGATCCAGCCCAACTCTTCGGCACGAAGATGGAAATGGCTTTGTGATTTGGGACCGAAGGCTCCATGAGAATTCAAGACCAGTAAAGCCTTCCTTGACACTGGCTCTTACAAATTGTCAAGACCTGTCTATTGACTAAGCCATTCCACCAGAAAGGTTCATGGAGTTACTTGTGACCCAGCCTATATGGGAACAGTAGGGACCTAACAGCAGCACAGGGCCGAGGTGACCCTAAACTGAGCAACAAGACTGTCAATTTGAGCTTGCAGCCTCAATCCATATCTGTGGCATAGGGCCATAAAAAACCAAAAACCCCAATCCACTGTGGATCAATACTACACTTTGCCTCTCATAGGGACTCTCCTGGTTACCCTGGTGCAAGAAGCAGGTGGGCTACCACTGGTTGGGCGTGGCTTTGAGCGGTGGAACAGCTCTCAAACCAGGCAGGAGCTGGTCTGAATGTCTAGCCTCACAGCAGCACGAAAGCACCAACCAACTATAATTTGGGGTTCAAAAAAGACCCTTCTGTCCTTTTTTTCTTTCCTTATGGTAGTGTTGAAGTTTTCAGAAGAGGGTAAATCCCATGACGAAAACAGTGCTGCAGGCTGCCAGCAAGTGTTAGGGCAGATGACAGAGATCAGTGTAACTATTACTGGCTTGGTTATATCTCAGAGTGAAATAATGGGGGAGGCTTGAATATGGTGTAAAACAATTGTCCACACCAAATCTTAGAAGCCACAAAAGAGGACCTAACACCTGGATGGTTTGTTGTGGAAGGTGGACAGGCATCACGTGATGGATGGAGAGTGGCTGTCTAATTAATGGTAATGTCTTCCCCTTCCCGCACCTTGACCTCTGTTTGTAAGGGATGAAATAAAGTTGTTTGCCTATCGTTAAAGAAAAGAGAGAGCCAAAAATAAGTGTGATCAGAATAGTGAGAGATGGTGGTGACACATCAATTCACAGGCAACTAACTGATAAAATTTTTTATTTCACTTTTGAATTTTTACACTTTTCCTGATTATTCCGTGTAAGGTGAAACTAGAACTGTTTAAAAGACATACACAAATCTAGTACATCAATAACCGGGGAATTTTCTTTTTTGCTATACTATTTTCACAACCACGAGTGTGCTTGCTAGGCAATATAACCATCACAGAAGCAAACGTTAGGCAGAATACTGGTAAGGAAAAACAAAGCAAGAAAGAGCTACCAGATATACAGACAGGCTTGGTTCCACATTCACGACTGCATTTTCAAGCGCCAAGTATTAACTGCACATTTTTGTTCAGCTAGAAAGGAGAGAGGGATTTTTTTTGTTGTTTTTTCTTTTTTTGGTTTGTTTTAAATCAGTGCATGAATTTTTCTTGTCTCATTTCAGCAGATGGACAAACAGATGGACTCTACAGCTACGTGGAATGTTAAAGGTAGAGGGGTGATACTGTGAGACTGATAGGCCTGTCTATGCTTGATTCTCTCCACTGCGGTATCCACGCAACTTCCCTGCATTATAGGGTCTTGTTTAAACTCGTCTGAGAACTGAGCTGGATGAGTATACTTGGGAGATCTGGTGACAGGTACTAACAGGCATTATCAGGGTCAGGGCAGGCTGCAATCAAGGGAGAAATCATGGAAATTTAGAAATACTTTTTTGATTCAGATCTTGGTATGACTGAAGACCGACGACCGTGTTGAGAACTGGAGGAAGACAGAACTATGGTGCTGGAAGCTCTTCTCTTTAAAGCAAGGCTTGCTCATCAATGTCTCTAACCCCTGCCCATACATAGTATTAAAAAGTGAACAAAAGATAAAGATAGAATTCAAAAAGAAAAAAAGTAATGAAACAGGACAGAAATTTAAAGAGAAGAGAAAACCAAAGTTAACAGTCTAATAGGACAATGGGAAAGAATATTTAGATTTCAAAATTTAAAAGCCCGGAGCTAGGAAGAATCCAAAGACTGAGTACTCCTCAAGTGAAAGGCAATCTCTATGGAACATTATTCTTTTCTTTTTTAGAGACGAGATCTCTGGCTGTATTTCCCAGGCTGGTGTGCAGCGGCTATTCACAAGTGCAATGGTAGCGTACTACAGCCTCATACTCCTGGGCTCAAATGATCCTCCTTGCCTCAACCTCCTGAGTAGCTGGGACTACAGGTAGCTGGGACTACAGGCGCATGCCACTGCACCTGACTCAGAACATGATTCTTAAAGTATTATCCAGAAAACAGATAAGGCCATTCATAAAATACACGGCTTTTTTTCCTTCTTTAGCTCAATGTTAACAATGAAAACAGATTTCACTATTGAAGCACAAGTTGCAAATTGGTAACATATTGCTGTAGGAAAGGGGGTTCACTCAGGTGTGTTATAGGAGCACTAGAACTTTTCAAGGTGTCATAAGCCAGTTATCTGCCACAAAGAATTTCAATTACAGGCTTCGAGTTTCCTCAGAGGAAGACACTGTGGACGTTTATGGTCATTAACTTTAGACTGGCAACAGCCCAGAACTGTAAAGTGTCTATAACCCCCGAACTACAGGCAGAATTACTGTGAATTACCATTAAACTCGAATGCCAAATGATAGGCGTCTCAATCCGAGTCCCAGCCTCACAATATAATCTCTATAACTTTCTGTACAACTTTACAATGGAATTGTATTTCAGTGACTATTTTGACATCAGATTAAACTTCCAAAATGTTACACATGATTCAGATCTATTTTTTCTACCAGTAAGAGTTCTGCTAAATTACAAAACCCCATAATCACAGTGTTCAGTTTAAAAAAAATTAAACACACAGTAATCCTGTCAATGTTAATCAAAATCAAAACTTCAGAGTGCCGTGGCATTTATATGACCAATCTGAGTTTTAGATACAAATACGAGCTGTCTATCCCATGAACCATTTTTGATAGGCTGAGGCTGTGAAAAATTGAAAGTCGACGTACGATTTTTTTTTTTTTTTTATCGCACAAAGGGATATATGTGGAGGGTACAGAGTGTCACCGAACAGATCACGAAGCACATCAGACATTAGTTCTCTCCCTCCCCAGCATCTCCTTCATCTCCCTGGTTTTCCGACGTCCACAGCTGTAAAAGAACGGAAAAAAAAGCTAAAATCAAAGTAGGGCTACTAAAACTTATCCAGGGAGGTATTTGCTCAACAATTCAAAATTCTTCCTGTAGTACTGCAGACAGTGGTGACTGCAAATGTCAAAACTTTCACAGTCATTTATGACCAATTTAACAATTTAAAACATTAACTATATTTAACAGAGTACAAATTCTCTCTTGAATTTTGGGTTACAGTGAATTATTAAGTAGGTGAGTAGGAAAAAGACTAGAAACCCTCTAGAAGTGGTACTTACAGTGAGATTATCCCTAAGCAACTGCATGATCAGGGTGCTGTCTTTATAAGACTCTTCATTCAGCGTATCCAATTCGGCAATTGCTTCATCAAATGCCTAAAACAAAGAGCCTTTAGCAAAGAATTCACAATTTCTCTGGAGCTAGTTTAGCCCACCTTTTTCTGCTAAGTGAATATAATTTCTCTTTTGGTACAGTATTTTTGGGGGAATCTAGGCTGTTATTACCTTGTTTGCTAGTTGTTTCAGCAAACATATAATGCATATTTATAAAGCACCAACGATGACAGAAATTCCTAGATAAGAACTTTGCTGTACCTAACATGTAAGCAATATTACTGTTAACCCTAGTACAGTCATCCTAGGCATATTCACATGTTTTAATTACCTAAGACATTTCTAGCAATCCTCTTTTTTTAATTAAACAATGTTTTTTATTAGAACTCAAAAGTTCTGGATACAGGGATAAAGGGAGAATGGTGAAGCTCACATCATTAAATCTGATTTGACTAAGTGACAGAACTTTGAGAATTCATTTCAGACAACTTTTCCAAATTAAAAAGAATTTAAACAACAGTATGCATGCTAAAAGACTATAAAAATATTCAGAAGAGGCCAAAAGAAGAAGACAGGAGATAATCCAGCACACAGGGAGAATGTGGTCTGATTTCTTTCTTTTTACAGCTATAACCTCAAATCTTGATTGAAGGATGACAGTATATAAACCAAGGCCCAAAGCTTGATAAAAAACAATAAACTATGTTCATCTGGAATCTTCTACAACCATCCTCCCCAAATCAGTAATCAAACAAAACAAAATAAAACAAAAACCAGCAGGAGGTTTTGAGAAGGAATCAAAGAGTGAAAGGTCCGTATTCGTTATATAAAAGATATACTCTCACCCCCAGAAAATCCTTCAAAAAAGTCCAAGACAAAGAGTATGTTGAGGAATAAAAAGAAGTTAGTAGAAAAAGCACAAGCACTGTTTTACTATGATCAGAAACCACACAGGGTCATTCTCACCGTTTTTGCCAGGCTGCAGGCCTTTTCAGGAGAGTTTAGAA